CAATAATAAATGAAGTTAGTGAGAGGGGGGAGGGAGGGAGGGGGAATGAAATCAATAAAAATGAAAATAAAGAAGTGTCTCCTATAAAATATAAATGAATTATCTTGTCTGCGTCTTGCACATGGAATAACAGCCCTAGTAGTCGTTGTCACACATTCATTTGGTACAGAAACACACATCCTCAGGTTATTTTCACCTCTCACATATTATATTGTACGACAGTGACTAGAATATATTTACGTCAAAACTTTCCTGTTAAAAAGATCAAGATCGGAAATACAATGATTTTTAAGTTACGAGTTTTCCTAGATTTCCTAGGAAAATCTGTGGAAAGCTGTTGGGAATTTGTTTTTGTACTAATAGTCAAAAGGTAGCGCTCGTGCTTGCAAGGTTTCATATCAAATGGATTTGAAATATATAATACGTTATATATGTATATATGTATATTGCTTTTGGCTCTTTCATGGCCGTTTTGAGGCTGTCCTACTCTATGGATCACCGCAATATTCGATCCTGAAAGAATTTTGGTGTTTAGATGCAGCTGATTACCTAACCCTGGGCCCTTTTGGGGTTGGAAAGGGCGCCGCAACACCCAAACGGTTTTTTGTGTTTTCATTCTGTTTATACGGACGTGGTCTCAAAAGTACTGTTTAACACAATTAATACTTTCGATCAAGAAAGAAATTACCGTTTTTCGCTTTTATTGGATTGGCGTGAAATGATTGGGGTTGATAATATATTTTTTGTACTTGGGGCTCTCTCTACTGGCTCCTCTCTTTCTCTGAGTATCCATAACATGAGACGAATCACCGAAATTGGACTGTACTGTAAGAGAAAACAAAGTTAGTCCCGTTTTATGCTTTATTTCTTATTTTTTCCCCCTTCCTTACTGGTCACTCTTGTAGTCGAGTGTCCCCGTGGGGTGTAGCGCGGAGATGAAACAGTCACCGAGACGCCCGGTTGAACTGTGGGTCTAGAGCTGCCTCAGGGGAGGTAATTAGACAGCGACTTCTGTGGCGGCGGAGTCCATTGATGATAGGGAAATTGGCCGTCCTCTAGGTATCGTAATTACATATAAAGTGTATTATTATCTTTGGTGTGTGTGTATGGGATCTTTGTGTGTGTGTGTGTGTGTGTGTGTGTGTGTGTGTGTGTGTGTGTGTGTGTGTGTGTGTGTAAGGGG